CAGTTCCTGGTCTTCAAACTCTTGCATTTGCACATTGCAACAGGACTTGCATTGTATCTTGACATTCCTTCCAAGGGTAGAGAATGAGTCCAGTCAGGGATGCCTTATTTTTGTGTTTTGGAACCTTCAGATGAATGCGGGTCTCCTGGTGTTCCGCTTTCAGCCTGAGAAAAACTGCAGCTTGAAGGGCAAAGACCTGCGTAATAAGAACGAGTGGCATGTCTACTTAAAGTTAGGCTTAAATAGTAGCCAACAATGTGAGTGCCAAAACAATTGCCAAGACCACGTGCGTGGCTTAGGACTTTGACCATGACCCAGCCGAATGTCTTCAGCGGCAGCCACTGGGTCTAAAATAACTTGAAGGAATGCCATCGTGTCCCAATCAAGTGACTCATATAAGTGAGCCAAAACATGTTTGGCTCTCTCTTTCTCTCTCGCTTGGTTCGAGCCAGATCGATGTGGGTGTGGCACCATAGTAGAGGAACATTGTTTTCTGAAGGATCCTCCTGTTTGACCATGATGAAGACAATGTTGCTGATGGACATTCTGCAAGATGGACAGATTCACCCCTAGATTCTAGATCAACTGTGTTGAGGGATGTCCATTGCTTTCAGGAGGGATTATATACCTTTGGCTTTACAATTATATCTACAAGGAACACCGGAAGAAACAATGCCACCACAAATCCCAACAGCCAAACCAGATCTCACCTGAGGCCTTAACGGCCCTGCCGTGGATGAGGATGTCATCATGCGGCTCTCAGATTGGTTGTCCTGCGAGGCGAGTGACACACTGACGAAACAACACCCGGCATGACGAAGATGTCGTGATCAGACTACTTGGCGACGGCAGGATGCGGGTTCCGCTTTTTGGGAACTGCATTTACGTTGAGCAAACAGTTTCCGCTGGCCTAGATGACTCCAGGAATTTAATGATATAACGAGACAGTCGAAAACTCTGAGTCTAAGACTAGTGTTTGGACCTTACCCTCTAATGAAGTGCCTTCAAGCACATGAACACCTGCAAACCACATGAACTTGATCGCTGCAGGAAACGCCTCCTGTTATAATATAAACCTCCTTCAAAGCCTCCTCATCAACCTCCCAAATGCTCCCTTCTCTGCGCTTCCTGTGTCCCTTTCTTGTTGCAGGTGATTGGCAGTTTCTTGAGGCAGTTCCCTCAAAAGCATCGAGTGGAGGCCGACTGCGAAAGATGGACATGTGCGACGTGGCATGGGCGACCGAACAGTTTTCTTAGTCGACGACGTTGGGGAACTGCACTTCTCCAACAAAGGATCAGCCATGGGCCGACATCAGGAATCCGGGTTTGATCCTAGGTTTGTTGGTTAATCGCTCATCTCCATTAGCTCTCCAGTTGGGCCAAGCGGTGGGCTGGGAGAGGCCCCAGGGATGAGGGAATCCCCACCTAGCCAGGTCCAGGTCCATTGCCCCCCTCCTTCGTTCAACCCATGGGTTGTCCGATCTTTTGGACCTACAAACTAGCTTGAAGAGTCACAGCAATCAACATCTGCCAAAGCTTGCAGTGGGGAACCTGCATTCTGCGATGCCCTTGGAACTTCCAGATTGGCAATGGTGCTCCTTTGGGATCACACCATCAAGCTTGCAGCCTATCCTGAGCTCGACTGAACACACATAAACGAAGATGGAACCATAGGCACGGTTTGTACCAGAAGATGTCATCATCCAAGGGACCAGTTTCCAGACTATGCTGAATTCCGAATGAGCGCTGCGCGTCATGATGCCGGTGAGGCCGCGCGATGTGCCTGTCGGATTGGCGTCTTGTGTCTCCTGGCAAGCATCACTTGGATTGGACCCAACCCGAGAGGAGCTCCGCGGCTGCGGTGGGGCGATCATATCAGCAGGTCTGTCAGCAGGGACACCAAACATGAAGCTGTTTTTGAAAGGACACAGGGAGGCAACTGGGGGGGTTGAAGGAGTGGTCGAAGGAATGGTTGAAGTATGTCATGTCACCAAGAGGACTTGAACTGCAAAACATCCTTAAAGACCCCGCCTCCCCTCGCCGCGCGAGCTTCCGAGCATCGTGCTCACAAGGCCTTTGGGGTTGGACCACCAGCCAGAAGCAATGGAGTCTCGAGGCCAAGCTGGTCATATTGCGGTCGGTTGGAGTTGGATTAGTTGCCTCCCAGATATAGCTTGCGCCCGTTGATTGCGAAGCTAAAGTTTATAGATTTGATGCCAACTTGACATCATGGCATTTCCTGAACATGGCTAGTTCGAAGTTGGTGTTACTTGTTTCTTGAAGGAGCTTTGTCCAGCTGGAGGTACCAAGTGAAGTTTCGTGGAACATGTGTATTTGTCGTTTGTCTGAAGCCACTTTCCACCAGTAGCGGAGTGATGTTTTCTTCAGGATAGCACAATTCCGGGGGTTTAACCATTATATAACTAGTACAACGTGCTGTTGCAGCTGCCGCCGTGGATGTTGTCGGTGTTGCTTCTTGTTGTTAGAATTAAGGAACGAGCGAACGAGCGAACAAACGAACGAACGAACGAACGAAGGGAGTGAGAGAGGGAGGGAGGGAAGAACAGAACGAAAGAAAGAAGGCAGAAAGACAGAAAGAAGACAAGACCCCAAAAAGAAAAATACAGAAAGAAAGACAGAAAGAAAGACACACAGAAAAACAGAAGGAAAGAACAGACAGAACAGAACAGAACAGAACATAAAAAGAGAAAAGAAAAGGCAAGAAAAGAAAAGACAAGACAAGACAAGAAAGAAGAAGAGTCGTTGTTGCTCGTGGTGGTGGCAGTGGTGTAGGTGGTGCCCAACATAATCTTCTGTACGTTTGGAACTTTCGGGGAACGTGGTTATGGATAACGTTGATTGGTTGTTGGTGTTTTTGGCGGAGTTCGGTAGGGAGGGATTGAAAAACAACGACAGGGATCCCGTCAGAAAGGCACAGAATAGTCCTTAGGTTTCTACTAGTAGCTCCTGGCATCGCTACTCGGAGCAAGGACGCTACTAGTAACAAAGGATGTTTGCTTTTCTGGTGGCCTTTGTCAAGCGCCGTGCCGCTGCAGGACCTGCTGGAAGTCACGGCCTCCATAAACCCCATCCACAGCAACGGTGGAAGGGGCCCTAGTGGACCTACCGTGACGGTTGGATTTGCAATGGTAGCAAAGGATAGGCCCCCCAGCAAACTTAGTTTTCATTTCAAGCCCCCAGTTTCTTTGACTTCGTCATGAACGAAACCCATTCTGGTCAATGTGTTTTTTGTTTAAAAAGAGGATCATAATCATAATCATTTTGCGACCCACGTTCTGCCTTTCAGAAGCTGCATGAGGGCCTTTGACAACTGCTCACGTTGCATAGATACTGGAGCAGATAAAGAGGGTTTGCGACACACATAGTTTCCGTGCAACTTTCATGAGTTTTTCCTCAATGTTACTTTTGAAACAAAGCAGAACGGCAACAGGGTCAGCTCGTAGCGTGTACTCTTCTGGATAAATGCCCACAGTAGATCTATCCGTTTTTTGGCCTAGGATTGTTTGCTTGGGTGTTCATTGGTCCATGGTCTGTGTGGGTTTTGAAGACGGCAACCCATTGAGACTGTGCCAAACAAGGAATGCGAACCTCAACGCCCAGAGAGGTGCAGCGATTGCCAACTTGGTTGCTGTAGGCAACATGACAGACTCTCTAAGCATAGCTCCTCAGAGGAGGTAGCTCACTCTGAACATACAGGAGCTTCGGCCATGTCCAGCTGTCTAGTGAGTCTCCTATACGGCCCGCAAAGTATGAGGAATCCAAGATGAAGATGTAACTACTGTATATATATATATATACACGTACATATAGTCATACCTGTTGATGCATATGTGTATATATATAGTATTATAGTATGTTATATACACATACTCCCAACACACACACACAAGATTGAATTTCTCAAAGGCTGACTTTGCCGGGAGACGCAGTAGGAACCTACACCTACCTGACCATTGGATGGCCTTCGGGGTTGGGTTTTTCCTGAGCAGAGCTTGCACTCCAGGTCAACCGACGTTCAGAGGTGGTAGCACAGCCGTGGTCGCCCCAGATCTACTCTTGGGGTGACGTGGTCTCCAAGCAGTTAACTATGTGGTTATATTAAATAGAGCTATATATAGCTTTGGCACAGCAATGTATACACATTATAGATGGCTTTTTGTTTGTTTGTGTAGTCACTTCTTGCTACTGCCATTTTTGAAGTCGTGTCGAAAGCTTGAGGGTGACCGTGCTTTTCCGGATGGACTCGTGCATTTATCAATGTATCCAGGGAGGTTTTTCATTAATAGTGCTTTTCAGATGGACTTTGCGGCTTCATTTTGCGTCCTTCCAATTTGGTCGCCGGGTGGCCGGTCCCTGGCCGATCTGGATCACAGTAAGGTGGGCCGCGGCACAAGCTCCAGAGCCCCGCGGTGTTTCGCCCAAAGCCTGGAAGCCTGGAGTTGGGTCTTGAGGGAAGGTGCCAAAATGCTTTGAGAGGGTCTACATGAGTCGTGGGTGTAAGTGTAAAACAGATGATGGTATAAGATGCGGCTACTCTGCTTGAAACAGGAGCTGATGTTATTTAACTGCCAAGTGGTAATGTTTTGATCACCGCCCTGATTTCTGGCCAAACAACCCTGGCTGCTAGCTTGAGCCTGCAAAAGAAGTAGCCAGGTGTCTCAATCTGACCTAAATTGCATGCTGATCCTCCTGTACCGTTCTACTACTACTACTACTACTACTACTACTACTACTACTACTACTACTACTACTACTTCTTGTCCCTTGTCAGCTGCCTTGAAAACTATATATTGAATATATTCAAAAGAATATCTCGGGCATTTCTAAGTTGCAGATTTCCCTGAGCTGAACAGGGCCGCAATCCAGTTGACACACCGTCGCGCACGTGGGTCGAGGGGCTGGGTAGCGCGGCTCCCTTTCAGGAAGCGAGGCCACCGCCTGTGTCCGGGCACCTATTGCAGGGGCAGGTTTCACGTATCTCACGTCAGATGGGTTTACCGGGAGATCGCAACGAAGGGACATATTTTTACAAATTTGCAGGAATTTGCACATTCCATTCTTGACTTATATACAGTATATAGATCAAGTTGAGGATTGACCGAATCTGTAGTCTGTGCATGAAGTGGAACAGTTGAGAGTGGTAACACTTGCTAAGGGGCTACCAGTTGCACCAATTGCCCTGTTCACGTTTTGGCTCGCAGCAGAGATTTGACACGATGCCAAGTTGAGACCACAATCCCAAGGCGGTCAAAGCTCAGGTGCTATCTTGAATCAAAGGAACTGGACTCTCGACGAGTGGTTTCTTTGTCACACGTGTGTTGCTGGTTTTCATGGGATGCTGGCGTTCTCGGGCTTGGCAGCAATCTCTGGGCTTTCCTACAACGTCTTCCGCACTCAATGCTTCACTCGTCAGGAAGGTCCTGAGAGGTGGGACACACTCAGTCTCCTGGCTCTTGGGATAGATAGCACATTGAAGAGTGGGAGAGAGTGACAAACATTCTCCAACATTTAGCTTAGTCAATGAGTTGCTAGCTTCTGATTGTGCTTCTACAGGCGCTGTCAAAACAACGTGGCTGACACAAGCAGCGAGCTAGTGTAAGAGCGACGTGCCATGGGTCCAGCTGGAAGCTGTTATCTGGGTGCATCGCCCACAACAAGAACACGGACCAGCGCAAGACCAAGCGCAAAAACCACCGAACCAACCCCACAGACTGACTGACCCAGGTATACACATGCAGCAACGTGCGTTTCTATTTCGAGCATGTTGCAGCAACATGAAGAATGCGAAAAGCCACACAGTGCAAAGCAGCCAAGCAGGACTTAGAAGTGCTGAGCCAAGTAGTATCTAAAGATGTTGCCCAAAGCGTGAGGCATGCGAACTGGTCCGGACAAAGAGCACCAGGCAGATTCTGGGGCCGGGTGGCAGGAGTTAAGATGGGCGTGGCTCCCGAGCAAACCAAAGCGCCTTGAGTGGCTGATGACACGCTGTCCCTTCCGGACGCTTGAACAAGCCCAGAAGCTTCAACACGTCCCACGCGATCCTTCCTGGCCGAGGCATCGCCACTCCGTCCTCCACCGACGAAGCCATTCAACGGCTGTCCGTTGCCATCGCCTCGGCGCAACCGCTGCTGTTCCGTGGGGGTGCGCACGAAGCGAGACCTGGGTTCTTCGGGTGGGCGAGCGACAGCTGGGCACCGCAAGAATTGCAGGAACGCTTTGGAGAGCTGAAGATTGATGGAGGTGCCTGGGTGAAATGGAGAGGATTTCGGGTGAATGGTGAAAGGGTGGTTCGTCGTGTTTGGGGTGATGTTGTATTTCTGGCGTTTGTGCAGTCAGGGGAACGACAGTGGAGGTTGATTTCTTGACCCAGTGCCTTCGGCCTTTGGGTTTCGCGGTGAACTCAGACTGAGGATACGATGCCACACTTAGTGATTTCTTGGACTCCTTCTTTGAGGGCGAAGATCCGCCGTCGCCTAAAAAGAGCTGTTTCTCAGGAGAGGGGAAGGGCCAAATTGGTGCTCTGGCTGAACCAATATAATATACAAATACTGTACATATATCCATGTATAGATTCTTTGAGTCTTTGGGAGCAGCAAGTGTTAGATCATTCTTAGGTATGAGCTCCGTCTGTTCCGAATGGGGCTTTGTTGTAGATGCCCAGATGCACAGCAGATGGGTCCTGGGCCAGCGAGGGTCACTGGATTCTTTGAGGAGATGCACCTGAAGGACCTGCGTGCACGATGCAAGGAGGAGCTCCCTTTTGCACCAGGCCCTGCCTGACGAATGCAACCTTGAACATTGGCATTGTAGAGGACTCGGATCCGCCCTTTGAAGATGTGCTGGTTGAGATGTTGAATCCTGTCTTTAAGCAGCAAATACGTGTTGCGAAACCGGGCGGTGAAGAACATTGTTGGTCATACCATATAACTACGCCAGGAGGCAGGATTTCGGGCGGCCAGAGTTGCAGTGTGCAATATTTGTACACAAACTGAAGATGTGTGCTTGTATGTTTGCCACTCCCGCGTCCTAGCCCCTCCAAACTACCGTTTTGGTGTTTTTGTAGGTGTCACATGGATGCAGGCACTTGGAGCGCAGAGGATAGATGCAGACACTTGTAGCACACGTGGTGGAGGTAGGGGATCTACTTTCTATATTTTTAAGGTGTGTGTGTGTGTGTCAACCCCTGTTTCGAAGGGAACTAATCTATCTATCTATCTATTTCTGACCGCCTTTTTCCACC